TACTAGAGAAGAAATAGGGAAAGAAAATTGTACTGCTGAATACTCTTAATGTAATTACCTGTATTTACTTGAATCCAATCCGCCATCGAATCTAATGCACACCGCAATTTTCAAAACACTGAAACCTAAAAAAGTATTTACCATATTATGCAAATTTAATGTGTACCCTAATGTTGGGAAGGTAATTTATCAAAAAAGGAGATCATTAGATTCAAGTAAATATGGTAGTTTAGAACAAGACTAGCAAACTAACAGCTGGCACTAGTAACTACTATAGTGTTTTAAGAACGCAAAATGATGACTCATATCACTAATCCATCTATTCTGCCTTGTCTACACTTGTGGTGAAGACATTGGTAGTAAGGTTTATTTAAAAATGGGCATGGCTAAGTCCAAAAATATGTGGAACCAAAGTCACATCCCAACCAGACATGCAAACAAGCAAGCCATGTATTTATCAGTTTGTTGGCTTTTTCTGTTATTCAATCCATGCTCACATTCTAAATTGTTAGGCTTGAAGTAATTTCTTCCAGTGAAGAAATCTTTGCTCATACATTGTCCCAACTCATTTTCCCTTTCTCCAAATCACAACCACTTTCTAACGATTGGGTTTTCATTGCTGTGTGTTTTCAAATCATTTCCAACTTATGACAACCTTGGCAAGGTTTGTGCAGAGTGAAGTTGTTTTTGCAGTGTGAAGTTACTGTGTAGCTGAGAGTGTGTGTTTCCATGGCTGAGTGGAGATTTGTAGTGTGACCTCTGAAATCACTTAACCCTTACTGGGTTTATCTGTAGTGGAGTTAGGAGTGGACACATATCCAAGTTCACACATAGCAATACTCTATTTGAACGTGTTCCCCTTATTTGAAAACTGTTCTGACCAAATCCAATGGGGGAAAAAGGCCTTTAAGCTTTGGACAGCACATCTGTGGTGTTTGTTTTGCTGTCTGTGCCCCTGTTTAAAAGATTTCACCTCACTTTCTGTCCTTGTGGTACTTAGATTTTGAAAAACGGTGACTTGTTGTGGAACCAAGGATTGGTGATAAGCCTCAGTAGAGTCACCTTTTCCCCATGATAATTCTTTCAGGAATGAATTTCCCTTCCTGGGGGTAGATTTCTCTCACTTCCTGTTGTCTCACTTTGAATCGTTTGTAAGTCATTTGGTGGTTTTTAATCAGTGTCTTTGAAAGTATGGATCTTATCATGAGAGGGGTCATAATTTAGCAGTAGAATGTATGTGGAAAGGTTTTGTCCAATTCAAGTAGTTTTTGCAACTTCTTGACATAAGCTAGCAAGTCGAGGGAGCAACCTCTTCAGAGGATCTTGAAATCTCTTCATTTGTTTTCTTTACAAAACACTTCTATCCCATCATTTATGGAATGGTGGTGGACAGGAAAAGAGGTGTAAAGATGGGCTTAAAGCCAACCTCAAAAACTGTAGCATAGACACTGAGAACTAGGAAGCCCTGGCCTTTGAGCGCTCTAACTGCAGGTCAGCTGTGACCAGAAGTGCTGCAGAATTCGAAGAGGCACAAATGGGGGGTGAAAGGGAGAAATGTGCCAAGAGGAAGGCATGTCAAGCCAACCCTGACCTGGACCGACTTCCGTCTGGAGTCCGATGTCCTCTCTGCGGGAGAACATGCGGATCAAGAGTGGGGCTCCACAGCCACCCACGGACGCACCATCAGGATCACAGGATTGTGGAATTCATATATTCCAAACAATTCCACAATCCAACTGCCCAGTATCCATCTGATTAATTCAGTCGTAAATCCTCCTCAAGCTATGAGGGATCGCCTAACATAACATCCCATCATTTATCATAGGACCTCAGGGCAGTGTACAATGCAAAGGATTTAAAATGCATCCAGATTAAATAATTTGAATAAGAAAATTGTATTAAACACAACAAAAGTTAAAACAAACACTAAACCACATTTAAACCTACAACAATTTTAAACCATGTGCATGTACTTTGAAACAAATTAGTACCTGAAGGCTTTTATAAAAGGCCATGTTTGGGGGTTTGAACCTCCGGGGCATCTCTGTTCTGATTCCTCACTAATAACAGACTCCTGCTATAGCCATATTCCTGTTGGCTTATCACCAGGAAAAAAATTCAACATTGCTGCTAGCATACTTTCAAGGATTTCGGGGTCATTCCATAATTGAAGTGCCACAGCCATCTTTCATTTTGATGGCACATGTGGTCTCTTCCAACTTTATTTTTCTATGATTCTATTCTATTTGTAGTGCAAAAAAACCCTCAAAAGAACAATACAATATTAAAATTAAGAATAATTCTAACCAACATAAATTTGCCAGTATTTCAATGGGAAGTGTGGGTCTGCTTTTGACTGATGAGACACTCAAGTGAATTAGGGTTGTTGTTGTTGTTGTTGTTGTTGTTGTTGTTGTTGTTGTGTGCCTTCAAGTGGTTTCAGACTCAAGGTGATCCTAAATCTGAAGTTTAGGGTGGGAGTCGAGCAAATGACCTTTGAGGGCTGCCTGTGGCCCACAGGCCTTACTTTGTGGACCCCTGAGTTAGAGTGAGCAATGTAGGCCTATATGGAACAATGGTTTCATCCATGGGTTCTACATTCACAGTTTTGATCTCCATGGATTGTTCCAAAAACAAAAATCCAAAACACAAACTTAGATTTTGCCATTTTTATATAAGGTACATCACTTTATTATGCCACAGTACATAATCAAACTTGAGTATACACCAGTGTGTGTGTGTGTGTGTCCTGGAATCAATCCCCAGTGATACCGATGATCCACTTTATAAGGAAGCTTTTGGCTACTGTTAATCAGGAGCATTGACATAGAAGGCTGTTGTACCACAATGGCTTATATTTCCCTTATTCAGAATGAAAACAGAAACCTGAGAAGATGTATTGGTCCTAAGTAAATCATTTCATATAATTGTGCTTCATATATTCCAAACAATTCCACAATCCAACTGCCCAGTATCCATCTGATTAATTCAGTCGTAAATCAAATGCGGTCCGTTGTAATCATTCTATAACTATTGAAAGCTCAACATGCTGGAGGTGAAATCCTCTGCACAGGATCCACAAACAGAATGTTTCAGTTTTATACTATGTCTGGAGGTGAAGCTTCATTTTTGATAAGGGATGTGGCTAAAGCAAATTTTTGTGACTCTGATGTGAAATCTACCATAAAACTTCCCTGTTCACTTATATCTAAGAAAAATGGCAAGGAGCTGGTTTTCCCTGTTGATTTTTCACTTGCTTCTGAAAAGAAAACTCAGAACAAAATATGCTAGTTCATTTCCTTGTCTTTCTAGTTAGCAGCCCTATTTCCAAACTAGGTTTTACGGTATTTAATATCTTCAATCCCAAAGCAACAATTCCTGTTTTTTCTGCTCCTCTTTCTAAGTTATCACTATAGAGAAAGCACCAGAGATACCAACTCCAAAAGTAATACTGTCACAAGGACAGCCATTACATAAGTAACATAAAGCTAGAAAAACAAAAAAAAATACATATAAGGAACACAATAAAGCATCTGCAAAAAAAAGAAAAAAGGACTGAGTATTGGCTAAGATTATATTTTCTGTACTTGTATATTCTTTATGTTGTATATGCTTTGAATATGTTATTCTATTTATACAATCCCACTTGTTTGGGGGTTTGAACCTCCGGGGCATCTCTGTTCTGATTCCTCACTAATAACAGACTCCTGCTATAGCCATATTCCTGCAAGGAAAAAAAGTTAAATATTATGAAAGGCCCATAGCTATAGGCAGGATGCAAGACTTAGGAAACACTTGGATCAAATTAGGATCATGCTTTGAGAGGTGCTTTCAAGGCGACTTTCCTGCTTCTTGGCAGGGATTTGGACTGGATGACCCACGAGATCTCTTGCAACTCAATGATTCTATGATTTGTGGATCATCTTCTAGTCATGTTTGGTTCACAAGACATTTCCATTAAGTTTTCAAAAATATTATCCTTGCCTATATTTCTGGTTCCATGGCCCTGTGTATCAGTATAATGCTTTCCTGGCCACATTGGAACTGAGTAAAATGTTTTTGATAGCTTCTACGAAGGTTTTAAGACATTGCAAATGCCATCCCCCACCAGCCTGGTGCTTCCAGATGTGTTGGGATATGTTCGGCCCATCTGTTCAGGATGGCCTTTTCTTGCCACTAATTCAAGTCATTCCTACCGTTGTTTAACAGTTTTGTTTTCTTGGTACAAGAAAATTTATTTTGGCACCTGACAACCTTCAATTAGAGTTCACAATATAGTTCAATTGAAATTTGTTCTTCTTATAGAAGAGATGGAAATTATGTAGCTTTCCAGATGTCGATGTGCTGCAGCTGTCTGCATTTTTTTCCATTGATTATACTGCTAGGTTTTCTGCAATTGGCTGTCTATTAATATACAAAAAGATGTATGATCCCCACTCCTATTTTATAGTATTATGCTTAACAATTCAATTTTTTTCTAGAGCTTTTATTGTGATTTTTATTAAAAAGTCACCTTATGTAATTATTTCACCTTATGTAAAGCTTTCTCTACATTTATGGGATTTATTTTGCTGGATTTATTATTTTGGATTTGATTAAAATGTTCTCTTAGGAAACTCTAGGTTGTCCAGCACTATAGTGAACCTCCAACAGATGTTGACCATAGAGTTGTAATGGAGGACCTAGATATTTCTATATAGAATACTTCTTTTAGGCATTCTTAGGCCCTTCAGATCGATTCATAAGAACATCTAGAGACTTCTAGAGAGGTGTTTTCTCAGGTAATAAACCAGTGTTCTTTATTCATAGTTTTTCCACTTTTGTCGGGGTCCTGTACCCCTAACATAGCAAGTGTGAAGGACTGGCTATATAAAAATTACATAAAATAGCTCCAATATAGAGCATATTTTACTTAGAGGCAGAATGTTTCAAATACAGAAATCATACCTTCCTCTATCTTACTGACTATAATTTCTGTTTCCATTTCCCCCCCTTTGGAGGATCCACCTACTTCTGTTTCACTGGGGCTGAGAATGGAGGAGATGATTTTCAACTTGGCAGACACACATCTATTCTTCAATGATTTAGAAGTAAGTAATTATTATTTTAACAAGGCTTAGAATTTATTCAGTATTAGTTGATATCAAGTTTTCAGTTTTGAGGCTAACAGATGGCTTGCAGAAGGACTCTTGCGGACAGGGAAAAGCAGGCTGAGGGCCCACTGAATGTTGTAGAATTGTTGTTGCTATCATTAGAACATTAGTTCTGATCCTGCTCCATACCATCACCAACAAACCTGTGGATAGATTCATGGATGTGTAGTAAAGATTGCCACTCTTCCTTTAACTCACAAACCTCTTCCCAATACATTACAGTCTCACTTATCCAACATAAATTAGGCGGCAAGAACGTTGTATAAGTGAAAATGTTGGATAATAAAGAGGGATTAAGGAAAAGCCTATTAAATATCAAATTACATTATAATTTTGCAAATTAAGCACCAAAACATCATGTTTTACAACAAATCGTCAGAAAAATCAGTTCAATACATGATAATGTTATGTAGTAATTACTGAATTCAGCACCAAAGCATCACAATGTATTGAAACAGCTGTGTATCCGGGTGGGAGGCAGACTGCAATGGATAATACAGAACATTGGATGAACAAGGTTGGATAAGCGAGACTCTACTGTACATCAAATTAGAGTCCTTAGATTCCACTTTAGCTGCCATGGTTCCATCCTGTGGAATCTTGGGAGTTGCAGTTTAGGAGGAAATACTTAGAATTTCTCTGCCAGAGGCCTCTAATCCTTCTCCAGGCTGCAAATGCCAAAATTCCATAGGAAACCAATGTGCTACAATTGCAGTGTGAAAGACACATGTACGTTTCTTTCTCCAGTCACCTCTTTCACTGCTATATTCAGATCTCTGGCTTTGCCAAATCCTGTTATGAAGAGGAGCTTGGGATAAATGGAGCACGTGGTCTTTGGATGTTGGCCTTTATTGCAAGGTACTTCTTCTTTACCACATCCAAGGTGCCTTTGTTTCCCTTTCTCTTTAATGGCCCACAGTCTATGCTAAACAGGAATTCCCAGTTAATTGTAATATCAAAGTGAGGCAAAATTAGATTTATGTCTCATTTCATAATGATTTCACTAGCATAAAAAACCCTCCCATAGAAGACAGCTCCCAGCATTCCCTAGACCAGGCCCTTTAGGGGAGGAGGATGCTCCAAATGCACTGTTTCCAAGCTGCAAGCTTGCTTCTCGTTGGATTTCTTTGAGAGCATCCCAATTTGCAGGGCCGTAGCCAGAAAAATTTTTTGGGGAGGGTTGACAATTTTGGGGGGGGGGGAAAATTTCGGGGAGGGTTGAAAATTTTGGGGGGGGGGGTTGAAACCTGCCTCCTAGCTCACGCTGAAGCAAAGAGCACAGCAGGGGGCAGAGCAACCTTCAATAGCCTGCAGCTCCACCCCTGTCAACCACCTCCACCAAGTCTGGCCCCCAACTTGGTTGCTTCACTACATCGGCTATTGCTGCAAGTAATGACAGTGTGAATAAATTGTCAATATTTGCTTGAGATAGTGCTTACAGTTCTGGAGGGACTCTTAATTTTTTGCATCTCATAGACTTAGCATGGGGATTTGGTTAACCAGTTAAAATTCATGAGTAAACCAGGTTTTTTAAAAAAATCTGAAACATTTCGGGGGAGGGGTTGAACCCCTAAAACCACCCCCTCGCTACAGGCCTGCCAATTTGTACATGTTTCCTATTTCCTATTTCTGGACTGAAACTCCCAGCAATCCTCCAGATAGATAAGATATACAGATTAGATATAGATAGTTAGTAGATAGATAGATCAATCAATCAGGAGGACTGCAGGGAGTTACAGTTCAAGAATAGGTAGAGAGGGAAGAAAGGAGAGAAAGGAAAAAGGGAGAGGAAGGAAGGAAAGAGGTAGAGAAGGAAGGAAGGGAGGACAGAAGGAAAGAAAAAAGGGAAGGAAGGAAGGAAGGAAGGAAGGAAGGAAGGAAGGAAGGAAGGAAGGAAGGAAGGAAGGAAGGAAGGAAGGAAGGAGAGAAAAAAGGAGAGAAAGGAGGAGGGCAGGTTGGCCACAGCAATGCGTGGCAGGTAGAGCTAGTATTCATATATATTCAAAAGTGTGCGTCTCCCAATCACTATTTTAATCTTTAAAAAAGAACCTTGCAAAGCTGAGAAAGAAAAGAATAAGCAGTCAGTTGCAATATGAATCAACCATTCACAGACACACAGAAGCAAAAATCTTCTCAGTGTGTATATACTTTGGTGCTTATACATATGAGAATTCCTCTTCTAAACTGTCTCTGGCTTATGAAGAGCAGTTTCTAGCTGCCTCTTTCATCTTATAGCAGAGCAGGCAATTTCTGTTGATATTTTCATAAAAAGAAATATATATCAGCAGTCAAGTTATGCTCCCATCATAACAAAGACAGCTGTTTATTTAAAATTGAACCATTAAACAAGCTTGCGGCAGGACTGCCAACAGACATTAATCATCACGTTGTTGTTTTGTTAGAATTTATAAATGTATGTTATTCCAGACAGGCAAAAGAATCCAAAAGATTCAAATACAAGTTTTGCTGATCAAAGTTAATTGGCAGCAATTGGCCTTTAAATATTTCCTGATGTTTCCTTTTCTCAAAAATCAAGCAAAATACACCTTATTTAATAGATGAGCCAATATCATTTGAAAAATGCTGGTGTGTGACAAACCTTAAATGTGGTTTCTCAAACATCTGTCCTATATTTTGATTTCTTTTCATCTGCGAAGAAACTACTCACAGATGAATTGGCAACTTAAGAATGTAATAAAATTATTTAAATGTGCGTTATTTTTCCTCCTTTCCTTGGCGAAGTATTTATTATTTCACATTTAAAATACAAGATTTCATATATTTGCAAGTGTTTTCAATAAGGCAACCTAACGTTAAAGGCATTTATTGTTTTTATACAAGTAATGACTTTACTGGAGGACATGCTTTGGATTCTTATTCAGTCAAAAAACATCAAGGAGCTGTATTTTTAAGGCTGTTCTTGTTTTCTGTTACTATTTAATTTTATTCAAAGTATAAAACAATTATTTCACATCAATCCTATGTCCAATATTTATAGTATTTTCATTTGTTTTATCATAATTATACATATATACACAGGTAAGGTTTTCTAATGACATGAAATTGCAACTAATCCTAGTGGAAATTGATGGTGATTTAACAACCATTGCAATCAAGGCTGACCCAAGATATTTTGCTGGTATGTCCTCGCATAGCAGCAAATGGCACTCCTCAACTCAATCAAGTCAAACTGCATAATACCCGAAGGCAGGCAAGTTGTTTTGCCACAGAAGGGAGAACATTTCACAAGTGTCTCTCCTTTTCTGTGATAATAAAAATGGAGTAGTAATAACTGTTAACTATGTGTTGCCCTTTCATGAGACCTGAAATATGTTGACTGTGGTAGCTGCTCATTTTTACAAATTGTAGTACTGGCCCAGAATATAGTATGCGGGTAAGTTGACCAGAGAGTTATGCTGGAGGGCAAGATTTAATTAGATTTCTCTTAAAGGATTAAAAATCCTTTACCTCAAGCCAGGGGAATAGTCACCAATCTGGACTGCTTTAGAAAGGAATTAGACATATTCCTGGAGGAGATAACTTTTATGGAGGCAGTATGCCTGTGTCTATGACATGATGGGAGCTCTATTGTGCTCAGGTCCGTATCCCAGCCTTCCCATAAACAATTGGCTGTCCACTGTAAGGACACAATCCTAGCCCAACATGGCATGTAATGCAGTAGCTGTTTGCTCTGCAGTATACAAATAAAAGAACTTTTTTTGCAGGGGAGACACATAAAGGAAATATTCGTGTTGAACTCTGTTGCCTTCCTACATAATAGATTTCTGGGAAACGTTGTTACTGCTGCTATCGTTATAAATTGCTGAACAGTGAAAGCGAAAGTTCTTGAGAAATGTTCAGCCCTGATGAAAAGCGAATGCAAATATTTTGAGTGTGAAAACATATTTTACTGCCTACAGGATTACCTGTGTTTCCTGCTTCTTAGTGAGTAATGATAACACCTTTTCGGAAGAGTATTTCAGCACATCTGGTCTAAGGCAGAACCAGGAAGTGCAGAGGCATGAAAAATATATAGAACAATGGTTGAGAAGTTATCTGAGCCATTCCAGCCTCTTAAGCAGGGTTTCTACCCCCATCCCCCCCCCCATACACACACACTGCATTGAGTTCTAAAGAAAACTTTGATTTGATTTGTTTTGATTTAATCACCACTAGGTGAGCCTCCCTTGATTGAGCATAGTGATGAATTTGACTCTGTGTCCTCCCTGCACTTTGCCATCTGTTGTTCTTCTCTGGAAGACAGACTGGTGGTAAGGTCATACAGCAGAGTCTCGCTTATCCACCATAAATGGGCCGGCAGAACGTTGGATAAGCGAAAATGTTGGATAATAAAGAGGGATTAAGGAAAAGCCTATTAAACATCAAATTATGTCATGATTTTACAAATTAAGCACTAAAACATCATGTTTAAGAAGAAATAGACAGAAAAAAGCAGTTCAATACACGATAGTAGTAATTACTGTAGTTACAAATTTAGCACCAAAACATCGCAATGTATTGAAACAGCTGTGGATCTGGGCAGGAGCAGACTGCATTGGATAATACAGAATGTTGGATGAGTGAAGGTTGGATAAGCGAGACTCTACTGTATTAGTTTCTTTCTTTGTAGATCATAATGGACACAGAGAAGCTATGAATAAAATACTGTGGCTGCTCTGGTGTTTTCAGCATCAACTTATTAGGCTGACTGGAAGCACTGAATTATGTATGGACTGGCAATACAATATATTTGACCTTTTGGTTTTTTTAGCTGTGTAGCTGCAGTGTAAATCCATATACATCACAGCTTTGGCTGGAACTTCACTGTCTGTATTGGGCAATTTTGGTCTTGGAATGACCTGACCTGAAATGTTGTCTTGCTTACTGAATCTTCACCGCTACCAGTGCTTTCATCCTTTCCTTCAAATACCATATTG